ACTGTTGAACGCTGCGTTTGGCCAGCGCGTCTTACCCAAGAAGCTTCCTCTGTGCAGACTTTTGAAGAGGAGGCTCCACTCAGATCCTCGCACAAGCCTGGGCTAGACTCCGGCTCAGCCGGACACTGATTGCACTGCCCAGCCCCCTCGAGACTGCCCCCAGCATGGTGCAAGCCCAGGGTGGGCTCCAGAGCCCTGCCACCTAAGCAGCCATTCATTGTTCTACCCTGCCCTTTTTTTTGTTTTTTGTTTTTAAAGGAACATTTTTCATGTCTCAGGTCAGATTAGCCAGATGAGGTCCAAATCCATTTGCATCATCCAAGAACCATGTGTGGCCCTGCTCCACCCCACCTGGGGCTTCAGATGCTCCCAAATCCTATGGCAGGCGTCCTAGTGCAGGCCCCAGCCCGGAGACTTGGGGCTCGGATGCCCCCGTTTCTCTTGCCCTCAGCAGTATGGCCACAGGAGCGAAGCTAGGGAGGAGTCTTCCATTTCCATAAAGTCCGCATGTAGCCGTGCTCTACGCCACCTTTCCTGAGCACGCAGAGCCACCCCAGCCCGGTGTGCATCAACACCCCCAGAGCAGCACCCCCGCCTGCAAACACAGGCCCCTCTGGGGAGGTGGAGCAATCGCTTCTCGCCTCCCTGGGCCTGGCGTATCTCTCCATGGGGGATGGTACACGGGCTGGAAGAGTCACATTTACCCTCCCCAGCTTCTGGTGTCAATGAAGGAGCCTGGGCTTTTAGGTCTCCCTGGCTGTTGGGGATCCCTCACAGTTCTGTGGCTCAAGTAAAGGGTTGTAAACGAGTCGATTGAAGACTGAGGCTGACCCTAGAGCCACTTTCTGGCAAATGCCACAGGCGATGGTTAAAGGGAGGGTCAGACCAGGGATTTCTCAGATCTGTTGTCTTTCCTTCTGTTTCTGTCATTTGTCTGCTTCCAGGGAGAGATGGTTGTCCTTAAAAAAAAATGTACCTTCTCTCACAAGGCATCACCAGGTAGCCCTCTTCTGGGCTAGTTTTTCCCAATTTAAGGAGTCAATGCCACATGTCTTAATGTTTGCTTTGAGGGTGTCCTTAAAGCATTTCATCTTGTGCCTGCATGTGCTTTGTCCTTGGCTGAGTTGGGAGGAATAGCAGTTGTTTTGCATCAGGGATGCGTGCACGCTGCCTTGCCCATTGGTGGTGACCCGCTGCAAAAAGCACCACTGATGCTGTGGGCGGCACCTGCGGGCAGTAGCTGCTCGCCACTGCCCCTCCCTTGCTGCCAACATGGCCGGCAGCATCTGCGGATGGTCGCCGACTGCCAGTCAGCACTTGCCACCCCGCTGCCACCGCCGCCACCGCCACGATTGCCTGCGGGAGCTCCCCGCTCGTCGCTGACATGCCTCTGCCACCAACACCACTGCCGCTGCCTGCGGGCAGTCACTGTGCCCGCCCCAGTCTCTGGGGGCATGCAGCGTTCATGGCCTTGTCCACCACTGCTGACATTGAATAATCAACGCTTCCATACTGGTGGTGTTAGTGTCGGTGAGGACACTGGCATTGGTGTGATGATCCTCCCACTTTATGCCAAGGATCTTCCAGAGGTAGTGCTGGTGAAGGCGTTTCAGACTTTTCAGGTGGTCCCTGTAGGTCACCCAAGCTTCACAGCCGTACAGAAGAGTTTGCATTACCACAGCCTTATGTAGTAGGAGATTTGTTCGAGTCCCCATGCTGTGACTGGTGAACACACGATGATTGAGTCTTCCAAAGGCAAAGCTGGAACACTGGATCCTATACTGAATCTCCTTGTCAATGCTGACCTTCTTTGAAAGACAGCTGTCGAGGTATGCAAAGTGTTCAACAGTCTCCAGCTCCTCATCAGTGAGGATCTTTGTGTGAGGAATTAACTGGCCCAGAGCAGGCTGGTGAAGCACTGTAGTTTTTCCAGTGTTTAGGATCAGTCCCAGCCACTGGTATGCTTGAGAGAAAAGGTTAAGAGCTGTTTGTAGGTCCTTCTCCACAGGCTCCGGGGTGACCTGGTAGCAGCCGATAAATATACAAGGGGTGTGCATCAGGATCTGGGGGAACACCTGTTCACCAGAGTGTCCCAAGGGATGACAAGATCCAATGGTCATAAACTCCTCCAAGACCATTTTAGGCTGGACATAAAAAAAACTTCTTTACTGTCTGAGCCCCCAACGCCTGGAATAGACTTCCTGCAGAGGTGGCGCCTACTCTGGACACTTTTAAGAAGCATTTGGATGCTTATCTTGCTGGGATCCTTTGACCCTAGCCAACTTCCTGCCCTTGGGTAGGGGGCTGGACCCAGTGATCTTCCGAGTTCCCTTCCAGCCCTAATGTCTATGAAATCTGTGACGTCTATATGCAGCAACAGCACAGTCATCAGCGTACTGACTTCCACAATCCACACTGACGTAACTTTGGTTTTGGTACAGAGGCAGGAGAGATTGAAAAGATTCCCCTTCATCCTGTACTCGGTGCCAATGCCATGTGGCAGGCAGGCATGGATGAACATCTTGATGACTGCAAGAAAAATGGAAAGCAAAATTGGTGTGATCCTGTAGCCCTGCATGATGCTAGGTCAAAAGGCAAAGGGCTCTGTAGTGGAGCCACTGCATAGGATGGAGGCAGTGACCTGGTCATGAAGGAGTCTTAGGATGGTGATGAATTTCTCTGGGCAGCCAAACTTCAGTAAGGTCTTCCATCGAGCCCCACAGTTAACAGGGTCAAAGGCTTTGGTAAAATCGATAAAAGCCATACACATTTGTTTTAGTCCTCTGGGGCTGTGATGTACTCAAAGACTTCCTTAATGATTTTAAACATATAAATATTTTACTTTAAACATGCTGGGGAGGAAGGGACTTTATTTTCATGGTCAATATGTTCTTTCGTAAAGAGAGAAAAATAATAAATCAGGTTTCCTTTGCAGGTACTCATTTCTGGCCTGCACACCACCATTTGTAGTGTTTAGGTTTTTTGTTTTATTGAATGGATGGTAGACAGAAGATGTGTCTTTTGCAAATAAGGTACAGTAATTATTATTTTACTTCTAACTGATGTTATTTCTGCCAATTAACAGACTCAGTAAATGTTGGCAGTGTAGCATTAAGGAGAGCCTACCAAATCAAATTTGAATTCAGATTTAAACTTTTATAATACCAAAGATCTCCAGAAATGTGGCCAGGAATTAAACCCCCCGATAAAAACATATTAACAGAAAAACCAAATAAAAAACAAAATATGCAATAACTGCTTTTAAAGCTCTGCTGCATCGTGTTGGGAAATGATGAAAATGATGGCCCTGATACTGAAATTGGATGTACATAGATTCATAGATTCATAGATGTTAGGGTCGGAAGGGACCTCAATAGATCATCGAGTCCGACCCCCTGCATAGGCAGGAAAGATCCAATCTAAATCTGCTCTCTGCTAGCTTGTGGCCATTATTTCTTGTAACCCCCGGGGGCGCCTTGGTGAGTAAAGCCTCCCCAATTCCCTTCTGTGCCCCCGTGATGAACTTATAGGCAGCCACAAGGTCGCCTCTCAACCTTCTCTTGCGGAGGCGGAGGAGGTCCAGGGCCCCCAGTCTCCCCTCGTAGGGCTTGGCCTGCAAGCCCTTAACCATACGAGTGGCCCTTCTCTGGACCCTCTCCAGGTTATCCACATCCCTCTTGAAGTGTGGCGCCCAAAACTGCACGCAGTACTCCAACTGCAGTCTGACCAGCGCCCGATAGAGGGGAAGTATCACCTCCTTGGACCTATTCGTCATGCATCTGCTGATGCACGATAAAGTGCCATTGGCTTTTCTGATGGCTTCGTCACACTGCCGACTCATGCTCATCTTGGAGTCCACTAGGACTCCAAGATCCCTTTCCACTTCCGTGCCACCCAGCAGGTCATTCCCTAGGCTGTAGGTGTGCTGGACATTTTTCCTCCCTAGGTGCAGCACTTTGCATTTCTCCTTGTTGAACTGCATTCTGTTGTTTTCTGCCCACTTGTCTAACCTGTCCAGGTCTGCTTGCAGCTGTTCCCTGCCCTCCGGCGTGTCCACATCTCCCCATAGCTTTGTGTCATCTGCAAACTTGGACAGAGTACATTTCACTCCCTCGTCCAAGTCGCTGATGAAGACATTAAAGAGTATCGGTCCAAGGACCGAGCCCTGCAGGACCCCACTGCCCACACCCTTCCAGGTCGAAGCCGACCCATCCACCACGACTCTCTGGGTGCGACCTTCCAGCCAATTCACCACCCACCGGACCGTGTAGTCATCCAAGTCACAGCCTCTTAACTTGTTCACCAGTATGGGGTGGGATACCGTATCGAAGGCATACATACATGCATACATGATATGCAGTGCAAAATCTTGGTCATAGTTTGTAAGTAAAGAAAACAGAACAACATCAATCTTGAACAAGGTAAAATTAATAAAATAAACAGTTAAAAAGACTTGTTAGAAGAAAATAAATAGGGCATATTTAGATTAGCAATAAAATGCATCTGTCTTTCATTTCGAAGAATACAGTCCTCTTCATATTTAACAAACCAATGTTAAACCAAATTTAACAAACCACACACACATTGGTTTATTAAATATACCTATTGGGAGTATTTTATCCATGTTAGAAATGCTATCATCCCCAGGTTGCTACGAAATAACCCTGAAAAAAATGCTAAGAGACTCCTTTAATTCTACCAGAAATTTTCCATTTGCTATAAATTTTAAGTGGAAGGAATTCAGATACTATGGAGAATACTGCCTGTTGGATCTTAGATATTGTGGATCTCAGTGGTAGTTCTGCACCTTCTGATATAATCTTAAAACATTGCCAGTTAAGAGCTGACCAAACCAGACCCAACTTAGCTTGTTGAGAGCTGGGGGAGGGGGGAGGGGGGGAGTGTCATAGCAACCAAGTCATTATCTCTACATAGACTTCTGTCACAATAGGAGGGAAAGATAACATGTTGCCGATCTTATCACTCTCCAGTGACCTGAATGGGAAGAGGCAGGTGGAAAGCCACCACCTGTGATGGGGGACCTACCAACAGCTATAGTTATAGACAATGGGTCCGGGCTGATCAAAGCAGGCATATCTGGGGACAAGGAGCCTCGTTTCATCTACACCAATGTGACCGGACGGCCCAAGGTCAAGGCTGTGATGCTGGGGGCTGGCCAGAAGACCCTCTACATTGGAGATGAGGCACAGGCCAAGAGAGGGATCCTCTCCATCAGGTATCGATAAAGGCATGTACAAAGCACAGGTACAAGAGGAGAGCAAACTAAGGCAGGGTCTTTCCCCTTTGGTACTAGAGGGGGACAAGGCAGGGTGGAAAGAAGCAGGCCAAAAGGAGGTGTTAAGCAGGGAAACAGATCAAGTGGGATATGTCCACTAGACACCAAGGAGGAATGGGGGCTGTCTCTGCCCACAGAGGAGATGGCTCCCAAAACAGTGGACAGGCTTCTCTCTAAGCTTTTCTTTGTCAGGTGCCATTACCACTGTGGGAGGGAGGGTAGTGAAGCCTCACTAAATAAATGTAGGGCAAGCTGGGACAGGGGGGCTGGGATCTAAATAAGGGGGAAGCCTTTCATTAGCCAGCAGTCCTCTGCCCTGGCTTTCCTTTTGGAGAGAATTTGGAACAGGAAGAATTGATTTATCCAAGTTGAGTTACATATGCGTGAATTACTGAAATGTTTGATCCTGGTAGGATCTGCAGAAAGGACAGGACTATGGACCTGGAGCGGGGAGGAGGAAGGCAGCTGCTGCTCTATGCAAAATGAGACAAAGACCAACAAGTGAGAAGTGCAGCAAAACTAGACAGAAGAAAAGAAACCAAAGCCCCCCAGAAGAGTAGAGACTGAAGAGAGAGAAAGTAGTGCAGGAAAGGGAACGAGCACAGACTGATGCTCCCAACCCATCAGTTTGATAGTTGCTGCAGCAGATCCTTTAAGGACTTTTGCAGCTGGGCTGTGGGGATTGCTGGAAGATTGGAGGTTTATCCTTATAGCTTGTAACGACCTCCTTGTTTAACCACTTTAAGCTTTGCAGGGGCTCACTGGTGTTGCTAACACTGTTGCAATTTCACTTCGTTGTGACACTTGAACTCTTCGTGCATCAGGCCTGTTGTAGGGCTGAAGGGAGCAAAAATGTCGCCTTTGCCCCGTCCCACATTGTATCTGCACACTGACAGGAACAGTCTGCTTCTGCAGTGTCACACACACTGTTCCTCACTTCAGTCTTGCCTGGAAATACTGCAGCTCCTACAATTTTATGCACTGGAGTTTTCTTTTTCTGAAGTGAGATGCCTACACTTTCCTTATACAGACAGGATGAGCAAGGGTAATGAAAGCCATTCATAGGCATAGTACCAGGTTTTTCTACAGACAGTAGCGGAGGTACTTGAAGCTGCAGCTTTGAAAAACAGAGGACTGGGGCTTCAATCCTTCATTTCTTCTGCCAGTTTCCTCCAAAATCAGTTGGGTTCTGCTTACTGATGCCCAGAATATTTCCTGAAAGTCTGGAAATGAATAGGCCTGGCATTAAAAAGTTAGTATGTTAGGTACAGACAGACAGACAGAGGAATGCCATCAGGTTGAGTGTGAGGCCTTCGCAAGCTTGGCAAATGACAACTTGCACAAACTGCTGCCTGGGGTTCTCAGCTAGGAACTAAGGAATTGCAAGAGGATGCATGTGGCACGTGCCTGCAGGCCAAGCTCTCTGCCTTCCAAGTAGCTCCTTGCATTCATCCCTCCACCCAAACGCTCCTACTCTGTTTCAGGAACTCCTCTCAACTCCCCCGCATGTTCCTCCTCAAAGAGGTCTGTATGCCCCTCATTTATCCCTCCTCATACCAGGTTCCCCATTTTCCCTCACCACCTGTGGTTCAGCCAGCACTCCCACACCCTTTATAATGCCATTCCATTCTTTTCCCATGCCATTAGCTCTGTGTTAATTTCTGTTCTCTTCCAGCCCCCTTGGGACCCAAGGGGTCCATCCCTTTTAACTTGACTATATACAAATTACCCTATCCTCTCCCCATACCAGAATCCCCAAGTCTTTCTTCCTTCAGTCCCGTTTCTATATTCCCTTTCTTCCCACAGTGGGGTATATTTTCTGCCCTTCCCCTTGTTCCTTTATTCTTTTTGCCCAGCAGGGAAATCATTCTGGGCCTCTGCATGTTAATCTCTACTGGGAAAGTGGCCTGAGTCAAGATAAAGCAATTGTTATGCTAGAAGGCATTGGTTGCTACAACTGCTTTTTGTGATCTTCAGGCAATTGTATAATTGGAAATTGCCATGCTCTGTTTAGTGCTCTGCTTAAAAAGAAAAGGGCTCCGTGTGTTCCACTTCTGAGATTCCAATTTCCCCCAAATCACAGGGTTCTGCCTAAATATGTATAGACCATCCACTGACATTTTGGAGTTGGTTAGCTGAAGCTTGTGGTGAGAGCATCCATTTTACAACGGAAGCTCAGTGTGTAACACGCTGAATTGTTTTATAGAAAACAGACTCTGTCCCCAGTATAGTTTACTACTTTTACCACTATTGTAAATTGAAAGGATTTATTCTCTACTGTGGCTATAATTAAATGGGAAGGTTATGCATATGTAGGGGCTAGAACAGCAGTGGGGGGAATAAAAGGGGGACAGGAAAAACTCTGGGATTAGGAGAAGCGATGCTCCAAGATAAAATGGAGAAAAAGGAGCACAAAAGGAAGAGTCACAGAAGGAGACGCACCAAAGGAAAAAGCATCAGGTGAGGAGGTACAATGTCACAGAGAACTGGCAGAATTGAAAATAGAAAAGGAGAATGGCAAATTGGAGATAACAAAGAAAAAAGAAAAGGAAAGACAAATGCAAGGACTGCTCTAGGCTTGCCCAGATGAGTTTGTGGTGCTATGTTATATCAAATTAATGTATTGATCGTTACTTCAAGCTAATAAGTGGAAGTGGAAATGCTAATCTAGACACTCGGTGAACTTTGTTTTTAAACCCAGAACCTCCTTTGCACCACACTTATGCCGTCACTTACACCAGTTGAAGCAGAGTGTAAAATAGGCAGAAAATTCATAGGTAGCGTTTTTCACTCAATTTGCCCAGGTACAAGTGACTGCAAAAGATTCAGAGCAATAGCAGATCTAGTTCTTTGTTTCTGTTTAGGGCATGGCTACCTGAATACATTGGTGTGACATAAGCTAAGATGTGAATTTATAGCTCGGTGGCTATAAATTGTAACAGCCTACAGGCATGTTCTGGCTCCCATGGTAAATGCGAGGTAAACTTGTCCCTCAGCAGAACTGAAATAAAATACCTCATGATTCCTGCAGAGGAAGAGTGTGCACATTGCCTACATTTACAGGGTATCTGACACTCTGTTCACACCCTTACTTCCCAGTATCTTGTTTCTTTTAGACCTGAGCAATGAGATCAGCAAAGTTTGAAGTATTACTTACTATACATAAGGCACCAGCAATGTTTTAATCACCTTGTCATCTAGCACTCTAGAACTGAAGGGATCAATATGGTGCTTAAGACAGTGCTGGCTTCCATTATACCACATGGGGTCCCAGTGTTACTGGAGCTAATGCTGTTGAATTTTTGCAAGGCTTTTACGAGGCTAAAATCCAGTACTTCCAGCAGGCTTTAATCATTGCCCTGTACCTCTCACATTCTGTCTGCAATATGCATTTTATAACATGCTGCATCTGCGAAGCACTTAACAAGGTTGACCTGATGAACGGGGGTTGTGTGGGCATTGTGGACATGGTGACCAGAGTAGGGGAATACTGACATTTTATTTTACCCATTTGACCACCTGTAGGTACCCAGTGGAGCATGGGATTGTTACATCCTGGGCAGATATGGAAGCTGTGTGGAAGAACGTCTACGATAACGACCTGAAGATAGCGGCGAGTGAGAAGCCAGTACTGTTGACTGAGGCACCACTAAACCCACTCACTAATCGAGAACATATGACTAAAGTGCTCTTTGAGCGCTTCGAGGTGCCGTTCATGTATGTGGCTGTCCAGGCTGTGCTGGCTCTTTATGCTTCAGGCTACACCACAGGCTGTGTGATGGACTCTGGTGATGGTGTCACCCACATTGTACCAATCTTTGAGGGCTACTGCTTGTCCCACGCAGTTCTGCGACTAGACGTGGCTGGCCGTGACCTCACAGACTACCTGATGCGGATTCTGAAGGAGAGCGGTATCTCCATGGTCAGCACGGCTGAGAGAGAAATTGTACGGGACATGAAGGAGACCCTGTGTTACGTATCCCTGAACCCACAGGAGGAGATGGCTAAAAAGCCTGCCGAGGTGGAGAAAACATACAGGCTCCCCGATGGGCAGATCGTTAAAGTCCATAACCAAACTTTCCGTTGTCCCGAGACCCTCTTCCGCCCATCAAACATCGGTATGGAAGCACCAGGGATTGACAAGCTCTGCTTCAACTCCATCATGAAGTGTGACATTGACCTGAGGACCTCCTTTTTCTCCAACATCATCTTGTCTGGTGGTTCCAGCCTCTTCCCCGGCATGCCTGAACGCTTGCACAAAGAGTTGGTTCGCATGGTCCCCGCAGACACGGAGGTGAAGATCGTGGCTCCCCCCGACAGGAAGCTCTCTGTTTGGATGGGTGGCTCCATCCTCTCTTCCCTCTCTGCCTTTGAGAAGATGTGGATCACCATGGCAGAGTACAAGGAAGTGGGGCCTAACATAGTGCACAGAAAGTGCTTCTAAAACCCAGGTGTTTTTAAGGAGATGCGGCCAAACGTGTGATAAGAACAGAAAGGCGCTCCACGGTGCTGAGCCCAAAGCAACGGTGGCTTATGCCATTAAGTATTGCTTTGTGAATGACTTAATAAAACAATAAAACTCAAGGTGTGCTTGTTCAGGGATGCTCCTTCACCAACAGGTGCTAAATGGGCCGGGCTTTTATGTAGATGCCTTTTCCCCAGGTCAGCAGCAAGCAGCTGAGATAAAGCAGGCAGCATGGCCTGAGGAAACGCCATCCTTGTCCCATGCAGATTTCTAATGGAAATTGCTATTTGCCAAAATATCCTGCCAGGGAGGAACGAACAGGGTGCCACCTTAGTCAGGGGGGGCACATCCTCCCCGCAGCGACCAGTCAGTGATGGGGGATGGGGTCCCCCCGTGGTCAATCTCGCTGACAGAAGTGGCCGTGGTGCTCCTGGAAGTGGTTGCGGCACTTGATCCAGCGCTCCCACCCCCTGGCCAGCGCTCACGGGTGGGGGGTGCGCACTGGTGCTCCCGCCTGTCCTCCCACCCATCGCCTAAGCGGGGAGCATGGCCTGTCAGGGGGCGCACTTGCACTCCCATGCACCCCCTACATGTTGCCACTGGGCAGGAAGCAAGTGGGGAGGGGGCTTAGGAAAAGCACCACCTTAGCCTGCTTCTTGGGCAGAGCCAGTGGGAAGAGGGAGGTTTCCGGGGTGCAGCGAGAAGGCAGACCCCTCTGCAGTGCTGGCAGACGTTACAGAAGACACCTCTTCATCTGAACCTCATGCAATAAGGGTTCAGATTTTCACTCCACAGATCAGCCATTCTGGCAGCGGTGTGCACCCACGCACTTGTGTTTGGCCACAGTTTTGCGTGGCCACGTGGGGCAAAAACTCCCTTCTGCCAGCCCCGGGGGTATAAACCCCACCAGAGA